GAGGAAGGAGACGGTGGGGTCTGCAAGCAGGCGTGCTTTTTCAGAGACGCACGTGAGCATTGTCTCAGTGGAGAAAGGCCTGTGCCTCATTCCAGGTCTTCTGACGGGCTGTGTCCGCGGGCTGTGCATAGCTGGTGCCCCACGGCAAGGCCCACAGCCCCACAGCGAGGCCAGGCCTTTCTCTTGCCTCTCCAGCCTGGTCTTCAGCTCCCAGCGGCTGCTTTGTTCCCGCCTAGCAAGTACTTGGGTCTCCTTGAAGGGAAGCCTGTGACCTCCAAACGGGCGCCTGGAGTGCCTGTTGACTCTGTTGTCTCAGCCACACGCTGCTGTGTTGTGTCATCAGAAGGAAGGATGGAAGACCGAAAGCCCTCACTTGAAGCCCTCTCACACGCTGTGAGAGCCATAGTCTCAGCTGTTTATTCATCAAAGCAACATCAAGGCACTCATCATTTCAATGAAATACTGGGGGGGGGAGAGAGAGAGAAGGCAGTGGAGGGTGGAAATGTTGGCCTTGTGTGTTGGCGAGTGGATGGCGGCTCTCCCCGGAGGGCTTCTGGGCTTCTGCTGGGGGGGCCAGGCTCGCAGAGAATGGGGAAGGGGTGGCGCCCGCTCTGTGATCTCTCCCCATGGATGGGATTCTGCCTCAGAGGTGCCTGGCTGTGCCGGCGGGAGCTGCTGGCTTCGCCCAGTTCTGCTGCTGCCTCCACGAATGAACGGTGCAGGGCCGAAGGAGCAGATGGTCTCCCCTCGCTCTGCAGTAGAGTGTTTTCATTGCCAGAGGAGGCCTTGGCAAAGGCGGGCGTCTTCATAACTCGGCTCTGGAATGATCAGGTCCTCTTTGACTGTATTGTCCTGAATAATTGATCCCCTCGAGTTGAAGTCGGAGTGATGCTGGGAAGGGGGGAAAGACTGCTGCCTCATAAATACTTCACGGGGAACAGAGGAGGAGGAGGAGGAGAGCGGCGAGGACGGCAGGACGAAGGAGGTGAGCGCAGCTGAGTGCGCCGGTCGGCTTCCTGCTGGGAGGCTCCTTCCGCTGATCCCAGAGCCCCAGAGCGTTGCAGCCTTTATTTTTACCCATCTGGGGATTTTAAAAATGCCTGTGCCCTGCTGCAAACCCACAATGGAAGCAATGTGGCAAATTCTCTTGTCAGGGGAGGGCAGCAGGAGAAACGAGGGATGCTCAGGGCCAAGCGGCCCCTCCGCCTCCAGAAGGGGCCCCCCTTTTGTGGGTCAAAGAGGGCAGCTTGCAGTGGCAGGCGCTTTCCTCCCCTTCCCGTTTCGCAAACGAGCTTCCTGTATTCTGGGGTATAAACACAGGCTTGGGGCACGATCGGACGGCTGCAACGGTGCCTGCCAGATCGCACTGGGAAGGGTCACTTGAATGGGAGCGGCCTTTGCCTCTGCCAGGGAATGGCTCCAGGCTGGCCCCCAAACATAGGAGCCCTACAGCGGGACCAACAAGGCCCTGCTTGGGCATGGATTGGGATCGGGTTAGGGTGCCGTTCCCCGAGTGCCATGTGAGTGCCCAGCAATAGATCTTAACTGGGCTGCTCCGCAAGTGTCCTGTTTCCCCCTCGCAATCATACCCTTAATTTGCCAATCTAATCACTCAGGCTGAAAGAGCTAAGAAGTCTTGTGGGGAGAGAGCTGAAGCAAAGTGTGCTGCTTATAAACCCCACCCTGGTGCTTAGAGCACTCCCTGGGCAGTTATGCCATTTAATTATGTAGAGTACGCATTGCCCCCCCCACCCCCACCCTATTCCAGCAAGCTGAGTACTGAGTTTACCAGCCTTGGAAGGATGGAAGGCAGAGTCAACCTCAGTCCAGCTGCCTCAAACTCAGATTGCAAGCAGAGTCTTGGCTGCAGTGCTGCAGTTTAACCACTGGGCCATCAGGATCCTTCAGCTTCTTGTGAGCTGGCTGTTCCCTCTTGTTTGATCCCAAGGAAGCAACAGAGGCCTCTGTGCTGACAGAGAGACCACAAACTGGGCCTCCCTATCTGGGCAACTGGATGGACGGACCAGAGCACTCTGGCGTTGAGAGGTGCTCTGGCTTGATGAGGGAGACCTGGGTTCAAATCCTCAACCCGTCACCAAGCAAGCTTTGGTCAGTCCTGACTTTTCAGGATACAAGGGTCTCAGGGAGCTTCTTTCCTTGATAGGTATAAAGGAACAAGCCTCCCCCACCCTTATTTTAATGTGTGATTTTAATGGTTGCTTTTATTAGTTCTATGTCTTTGATTTCGCCATTGCAATCTATTCAGATGCTGCCATCTGGGAATTTGTATAGATTATTGTACTATAAATGGACCATTTCTTATGTTCATGCATAGAAATAACAGATACAGCCTCTATGTATACATATCGCATAGAAGCATATCCTTTAGCAACATGTGCATCCCTTTTTTAGCTGGAAAATGTGTTTCCCCTTTTTTTTAAAAAAAAATTGTCTCCTTCACTGATTGACTTCCAGCAATTTGCGTTGCGGGCAGAAAAAGAGAGCCGAGTACTTCGATCTCCATGAAGGGAGATCAAGATAAAATTGTGTGATGATTTAAAACAGTGCTTCTGTGGAGGTGGCACTCACAGGCTATGGAACTGTTTGTCGGGTAGATGCTTGGGTGGTGGTGAGGGGAGAGGCTTCCGACGTTTCTTCGCTGGTTTCCTTTAGAGTTCTGTGCAGAGTTTTGTCAGATCCCAGCCAGGGGATGGGAGGGTGGCATCGCAATGGCCCAGTTGCCCTTGTGCCAAAAATATAACCCTGCAGCTGATGCACGGGGCTGTTTTTCTCTTGTCTCTTAGGTTGGGCTTGGATACTTGGTGAGGGACCAGCTGGGACTGTGGGCAGCCTTGCATCAAGTCAACAAGTCCTCTCTGGAAGGAGATGTGGTTTGAGGAGTAAATCCCCCATCTCCACAAACACATTCAGCCCCCCCCCCAGGATGTGGCCACACAGCTTTCAGCATCTCTTTCGAGAGCTTCCACCTGCACCTCAGAAACACCTCCCTGCCCCCATCTCCCTCGGAGGCAAAGAGAAGCTTTCCAAATGCCTGGCCACCAACAGGTGGAAAGGGGGACCTTCTGCCAGAGCTGGGCTTCCGTAAGGAAACTCTTTGTGGTATTTCAGTCGTCTCTTCCACATGCAGCTCACACCCACCCTCCCACCGATTCTTGACGGAAGCAAAATGAAAACTGCTCCCTGTTGTGATTTCAGAGAGTCTTTTCTTATTGTGTATAATTTGGGCACACAATACTTCCTTAGTTTTCATGTTCAAGCTGCTGCTTGTGAGCTCCTTTGGAGAAGACGGGTCTCCCCTTCAGACCAGTTGGGTTCAAGTTCTCACTTGGCTGGCAGTTCACCTGGATGACGTCAAAGCCCATCGTGCAATTCTCATGCTACCATGCAGGGTTATTGTGGAAATAGATAATTCCCCAGGTTTTTCTCAGGAAAGGAACGTGAAATACGAATCCATAAAATATAATTAGGTGCCTGGAGAACCGCAAAAGATCTGGCAGTGCTGGAGACGGCAACCAACTACCTCTCCTGACACCAAAAAAAGAGGGGAGGCTTGCTTTCTGCTAATGAATCGGGAGATCCATCTGTTACTGGCTGCCTTTGCGTATTCTGTGCACCCATTAATTATTCTGAATTGCTTGTTAATCAGAGAGTGCCTGGTGTGGGCGCCTCATTGCTGTTCCAAGGGAGAGCAAGGAGAGAGGTAGAGAGAGAGAGAGAGGTAGAGAGAGGTAGCGGAAGTTGTGAGATCTGAAACAAGGCAAGACTTTCCTAGCCTGGGTTGTGGTGCTTCAGTTGGAGTGGCTGTTGGTTCACAATTGTAGACATCCCTTGAAGTTGTGGAGCCTGGAAGAAGACTCCTCAAATATCCTGTGACACGACCGGCGGAGTCTTTGGGGAGCGATAATGGCATCCACATGCTCTGAACAGAAAATAAAAACAGATATCCGTGGTGTGCGCACACTGTTGTGGCCTGCAGGGTTCCTCTCAGTTGACTCAGAAGGATGGGTCTGCCTGTCAGAACCTGGAGGCAGATCTGAGGAGAGGTGGGCAAAAAAAAATGGCGCAGAGAGAACCTGACATACTAGGGGAGCGGACTGAGCATGTGGTTGCAGAAATGGAGAATGTATTCATGGTGGGCTTAAAAACCACCAGTTCCCTTGCCCACCTTTCCAGCTGGGCTCTTGTGATGCCACAGAATCTTCATTAACATTCTAACCACCAAGGGGAAGGGAATTGGTAGTGAAAGGATTGGACGCCCTTTACAAAAAGTTCCAAGGATGTAACCTGAACGGCCACCATCCTTGGAACAGTTGTCACTAAACTTAGTGGAGAGCTCTGTGGTTTAGGTATCTGGCTGGAAAGCCACACGTCGAATGGTCTGGATCCCACTGACAAAGGCTGGACTTTGATGATTTATATGGGTGCCTTCCAGCTCTGCAGTTCTCACCTTGTATCTCATTAGTAGGGGGATGCAGCCCTACACTTAATTCTGAGTAGTGCCAAGAACTTCGTCATAATGAAACCGAGCAAACACGTAAGCAGACATTTGTCAGGAATGGTAAAATGATCACATTGTGTCTTGAAAATACTTTTTGCTCAGAAAAGAGTGGTAACTAGGAGTTTATATATAAAGAAAACCAAGAGTGTGAATGCATTTCAGAACCTTTTGAAGGGTAATCAGAGCAACTACATCATTAAAAACATTTAAGGGGAACAATAATTTAAAATATTGAAAAGATACCTGAAGGAGCTGAGGAAATGTTGGGCTGGAAGACAACAAGGGAGTCGAAGGTTGCTGACTAGATTCAGGCAAACAGCTACAGCCCTCAGAACCCCTTCTATTTTGTGTGCCTCGTTCAAAGTACGAAGCGATGATGGACCCTGGTGACACAAGACAGGTGTCCAGAAGTCCAGTCGGAACATGGACTTATGGAGATGCGGCCTAGTTGACCCTAACCTTTCTTTAAAAATTCTTTCAGGAGGAATCTTTGAATATGTGGATGGCCCCAATGCCCAGGTCATGAACGCAGAAGAGCAAGCCTTCCGATTCTCTGCCAACATCATCAACAGGAATAGGACTCTGTTGCCCAACACAACCTTAACGTATGATATCCAGAGGATACATTTCCATGACAGCTTTGAGGCCACTAAGAAAGGTAAGTGCAGAGTGTTGCCCTTCTTCCACAGCTCTTGGGTTCTCTCTGGTGAAGGACTTTGCACTGACGACCTGGCCTCCGTGGCCTTTGGTGGGCTGAGTATGCAGGTGGGGATCTCGGCTTCTCAGTACAGGAATGCTGTGTCTCTCTTGTCTGTCCTTGAGAGGCCCAGAGCTCTATGGAGCCGGGAAGGATGTGCAGGGTTTGGTTTTAGTTGGATCTCCGTGGGGTGGGGGGAGGATGATGGAACAAAGTCAGGAGGTGCCACGGAATCCACATGGATGCTAGCCTTGAAAGCATCTTGCCACTGCCAGCCTCATGGGAGCCTTGTACCCAGTTTAACATTAGAACATCTCTCTCTCTCACACACACACACACACACACACACACACACACACACACCCCACCCCACACACACACACACACACACACACACACACACACACACACGTTGGGTCCACCGGCTGAGGAAGGCGACATTGCCGTGGTCAGTGTGTCACTTGGTGCCCTGAAAAAAATGGCGCTTTTCGTTGTTATTGAAAAGTAGCTTTTCCCCCCTCCTTGTTGCTTGCAATGTGAGTGACAATGAGTATTCTTGCCTTCCCTCCAAACTCTGCTTCGGGTCGTTCACCGAATTCACCTGCTGCACGGGATAAATGGGAAATGGGAAATCACAGGGGGGTGGGCAAGAGAGGCAGGGGCGTCCCATGGCCTCTGCCCCAACCCTAGGCAGCTTCCTCCGGTCTCCACAAGGGTGAAAAAGCAGGGGGTCCATCTGCCTGTGGCGGCTTTTGCTCCTCTTTATCCGTGGAGGGGTCACCTTCTGCTCGGTTCCCCTGGACTGGTTCTGCCTTACCATGGAGCCGATTCAAGAACGCAGATGAAGTGTGGGCAGATGGAGTGGGTGGGGCGGGAGATGGAGCTGAGAAAGTCTTGCCCTTTGCCCCCGGGTCGGAGTGACTAGACGCCCCCCCTTTTTTTTCCACCCACGGACCCTGCCCACATTAGCCTAGTTCTTCTGATTAAAGTTTCTAAAGATTTTTACATAGTTCCACTTAGAGATGATGCTAATGAAATGTGACAAGTAAATAAGGTTAGTTTTGCTTTTTTTAAAGAAGCGCCTCTCCCTCATGTTTAATTAATGCCCTGCTCCTCAAAGCTTGTGTATTACGCAGTCAAGACTGTTGGAAACTTTCCCCGAAGAAATGCAGCCCACACTCAGGCCATGTGTGTATGTGTGTGTGTGTGTCTGTACATGCACACATGCGCGTGCACACACATGCACACACACACACAAAGGCTCTGAGAAGCATCTGAACAGACGGTTTTTGGCAATCACTTAAAGGAATGTTGCATATGTCCCCTGCACAGTTGGAGAGAGGGATTGGAGAGAATTATTTTCAGAACCACTCAAAAATTAAACAGGAGTCACAGCAGATAAGACTGGGAGGGAGGGAGGGAGGAAGCCAGGAAGCCCACCCCTGTCCTTCCTTCCCTCAGTTGAAAACGAGACCACTTTCCCTCAAATTTCTCCTTGTGAAATTTAAACTCATGGCAAAACCAAGTTTAAATTTCAGAATGGAAGGCAATCTCTTTTGAAGTGTTCCCGCAACTGTTTTCTCTGAGGAAAAGGTCCAGCTCTCAAGACTGCTCTTCTGTCGGCTCCAGCACAGCTTCGTGAATGTCAGACGCCCCTCTTCTGTTTCCTTAGCAAATGGACAGGGACACTGAGGGTTTCTTTGCTTGCTTTGAGGGCTGTGTTCCTTCTGGCTTTTTTTAAGGCTGAATAGAGGAATTTTATTTTGATCAATCAATAAATTTTATCTCAGGCTTTGAAAACCCCAGTAGCATCTCTGCACGTTCTGCTTTCTGAGTCGCTCTTGAGCGATCCTTTGCCCTTCCTTTGTCTCCATGTTTGGTAGAACAGATGGCCTTGGTGATGAGCACGGATTGGTAACGCGCCTTGTTGAAGTGGAAAAGGTGGACTCGTGTAATTTCCCCATTGTACAGTTTTGCGCAAAACCAGTTTCTAGACAGTTTTGTCTCTACATTTGTGATTTTGTATGTCTTCTTAAAACCCTTCTCTATTGAGAAAACTCTCAGGGGGAATCCTCACTGGTGGTGTTAAATTCCCCCATCTATGCCTACAACAAGAACACAAATTAGAAGTTGCCTCCCTAGGTCATAATATGTACAAGACATCCAAAGAGTTGAACACAAAAATGTAACCAAAGTTGACCGCTGAAAGCTCAAGAATATACACAGAACTAAAATAAATGGATGGATGGATGGACAGACGGACAGACGGATGGACAGTCGGACGGTCGGTCAGTTGATCTTTGTAGCTAGAGGAAGTGATCCCATGAGTCTTCATTACCAAGGGAGTCACTTAACCTGCCTTCAGGTCCGGCTTTGGTCTAGTGGATTTCTGTGACTGAACAGAAATGGATTTGACCTCTGCCAGCGAGCGTTGTGATCCCCCTCCATTGCCACCTCTCAAGGGCTCCTTCCCAGGCACCCCTGACCACCTGCACTCTTTCCCTTTCCAGCCTGTGACCAGCTGGCGCTGGGGGTGGTGGCGATCTTTGGGCCCTCTCAGGGTTCCTGCACCAACGCCGTCCAGTCCATTTGCAATGCCCTCGAAGTCCCCCACATACAGCTGCGGTGGAAGCATCACCCTTTGGATAACAAGGACACTTTCTACGTCAACCTTTACCCGGACTATGCCTCCCTCAGCCACGCCATCTTGGACCTCGTCCAGTACCTGAAGTGGAGATCAGCCACCGTGGTGTACGACGACAGCACAGGTAAATGGGGCTCAGGGCAGGAGCGTCGGTTTCGTTGACTCTCACCCTTTTTTCTGTTACAAATATGCATGAATCATAAGTGCCAACGTATACTGAATGAAAAGTGTGTTTGTGTGGTACAGTAATTTTAAAAACCCAGGTATTTTGGTTATTTTCAAGAACTGGGAAAATAAGTTGTTAACCTTTATTGGCTTAAGTGTTGAGAACTATTTTTAGGGTCTTAGAACTATAACTGTTCCACATTGTCTTTTCCATGTTACCTGTGTTAGCCACATAATAACAAAAAACAAACATACAAGGAAATCCTATTTATTTCAGTGTCACTATTCATGGCTTAGCATCCACTTCATGGGTGGTGATGCTGCTGCTGCACTATCATACGCAAAAACTCACACTGAAAGGAATATGTTACTTGTAAAGGTGTCACCAGCCAGGTTTTGTTTGGATTTTTGTTTTGGATTTGTTATATCCACAGAAACTGCCACAACAAGACTATCTCTTTGAAATAAAAAGTGGAAAATTATTATTGTTTCAAAGAATTTGTTACAGTTATAACTGGAGGTTTTAAAAGTAGTTTGTTGTTGCAGTTAGAGCAAGTGAAAGTAAACTGTTGACTTTTTCATTGCTTGAAAAGAATTAGAATACAGTGGTGCCTCGCTAGACAATGATAATCCATTCCACTGAAATCGCTGTCTAGCGAAATCATTGTCTAGCGAAAAGCAAATAGTCGTCTAGTGAAAATCGGTTTGCGAAGCAGGGACCAAACATAGTCCAGCGAAATTCCCCCATAGGAATCACTCTTTTGCGAATCGCTATAGTGATCGCAAAAAGTTAATGTCTAGCGAAAAAACTGTCATGCGGGGCAACTGTCTAGCGAGGCACCACTGTAACGGATTTCTCATGCATTTATGTCTGTGTGGAGTTGTTGTTTTTTGGAACAGAATAAATCCCCCCCAGCGGAGCACAAGTGCTGGATTGGAGCATTTGGGTGTTTTGCTTTGGTTTGTTTTTAATTTCTCCTGCGGAGAGCGTCTCTCTAATGCAATCTCTTAATTGGAGGCAGCAGGCGGTGCTGCTTCATAATGGAATTAATTACCCTGAAGGAGTCCATTTGTCAGAAGTTTAAACCCATTTGACCTTGGAGGGGGTGACATCTTCTGGTTCTGTGCCCAGGGCAGTTTTTGTCCTTCTGGGGGTTCTGGCACCTCCTCTAGAGAGCATTACTCAGGGTAAACTGAGGCCTTCTTAGATTTGCTCAGGCAATTTCATAATGCAAAGAGATCATTCAGGCAGGCCGTTTAGTAAAGTCGTGCATGCAAATGCTTCCTATTCCACCAGGTGGGCATCATTCGTGGAAAAGCTTGCCCAGGTGCCAGGAGTGGCTCCGCCGGGGCGGACTCTCTCCCGGTTCCTGCACAAATGACAAACTGAGTGACCTTTTTCTGAATGTTTCCTTCTTTGAGGCTTTGTGTCACCAGCTGTTTCGGATTTCCTTCCTCCATAGGCATTCTGGAACCCAGGGAGGACCACTTTTGTGTGTGTGTGTGTGTGTGTGTGTGTGTGTGTGTGCGTGCGTGCGTGCGTGCGTGCGCGCGCAGAGGGAGCCTGAAACATGGGGTGCTAAAGTGGCCTCACTTCAGGAAGGAGCATTTTGGCAGCCCTCACCCCATCCACGGGGAGCTCCGGCTTCACGTCCGACCCCTGTTCAAGCACAAACTGAGACTAGTGAGGGCGGCCACTAGAGATGGGCTGTTCATACTGGTATCCCTGGGATACAAATATGAATATCATCGCCGCAGGTGCCGTAGAGATCCAGCCCCTCCCTCTCGGACCGGCCGGTCTAGTCCCCGGTGCGCGTAGCTGTCCTCTGTGTCGTCACGCCAGTGGCAGAAGCAGCCCGGCTGGCGCTTCCCCACCTCCCTGCGCAGCCGGCCGCCCAACGGCTGAGTGGCGAAGACTCTTCATCCCGGAGGCAGGGAAGGGAAGGGCCGGCTTGATTGCCCCCATGATGGGCGCAATGATGCCGGCAATGTCCGTGCGCACCATGTGGCGGCCAGAGACCAGACTGGCTGGTTTGGGGGGGGGGACGGGCTGGATCACCGCTGCTCCTGTGGTGCCGATATTTGTATTCCTTTCCCCAGGGATCTCTCTAGTGGCCACACCTCCCTTCTCCTCCCATTCTGGCCCTCTTCCAGTGGGAGGGTTGCCAGAGAGCAGTCCTCCTTTCAGTGGCTTCTTCCATTCGAAGGATGGGCTCCCGCAGGTCTGACTCAAAGAAGGAAGAAGGAGGGAGATGGGCACCCTTGGGCACTCTTGGAGATGCCCATCGCCAACAGGGAGCAGCCCCTGGGCAGCGATGCAGCCACAGGGATTCAGCTCCCCGTCTCCCTGCACCACAAGGCATGATCCTCCTGTTGAAATTATAAAAGTTCTTCCTTATTTTGCAAGGCGTCCTCTTTTGCCCTCTCTTTTGGAGATGTCTAAGTGGCCACCGAAGGAGAGGGCAGGAAGAGGGATCCCCCTGATGATCTCGACTCTGGAAGCAGGAAGCTGAAGGGGTTCTTGGGCTGGCGTGGGACCCAAGGCTGCCCTCTCGTCCTCGTTGTTGTCCTTGGGCTCTCGCTCTCTCTTTTTCTCTCTCTTCCCTCCCAAGGCCTCATCCGGCTGCAAGAGCTGATCATGGCCCCTTCCAGGTACAACATCCGTTTGAAAATTCGCCAGCTGCCCCTCGACACAGAGGACACACGGCCCCTCCTGAAGGAGATGAAGCGAGGGCGCGAGTTCCGGATCATCTTCGACTGCACCCACACGATGGCCGTGCATATCCTCAAGCAGGTAGGCTCGAGCAGTGTGTGTGTGTCTGTGTGTGTGTGTGTGTGTGCATGCGTTGATATTTTGTGCAGGGAAGACCAAGGAGGGCCCAGAAAGGGAATTGGGTGTCGTGGCTTTAAAAAGACCATTACGCGTGGCAAATGAGATTCATCAGATGAGGTGAAGCCAAAGGCGGGCAAGGCTGCCTCCCGAATGGCCCAGTTACGGCTTCAGAGCCTCCGTCTTCCAGCCATTCTCCATTGCGCCAGAATCGAAATCTAAAATTAGTGGAAGTTTCCAGTGGAAGCTGCACACCCGGGAGGGATCCTTTTGCCAACGGGTGAGCAGAAGTGACGTCTCCTGCCTGTTCCGATCTGCTCTCTGGCTGACGGTGTCGGGTGGGCTTCCCTTGCGAGGCAGAGCAGTGCTCCTT